GCTCACACACACACACACACACACACACACACACACACACACAAAGTACGGTGAGTCACCGTGAGGCTAAAAAAGTTACCATACTCGCAAAACATGCCTTTCTAAGGAGTTTTCACAAGTCTTTTCTCGGCGTTTGGATGTCATTCTGTGGACTGGTGGATGTTGTAGAGCAGCATTTCTTTGTTTTCTGAGAGAATTAAACACAAACACACTGAAACGATCTAGCAGGGCTCTGCGGTGCAGGAGCATTAAAGCCAGAATGAAGCGAAATAACATAGAAGCAACAACAACCTGGACATGGATTTTGATTTAACAATTGAAGGCTGCCCAGCATCTTGCTTCTGGGTCTTCACGGAGTGCGAAAACATAATTTGTATCTCTTGTGAAGCGTGTTTAAGTGCCTCTTAATTTGTTATCGGTTCAGTCTCGCTCTTCCGGCATCTCGCTGTCAAGGTAACCAGGCCAGCGCGCTTCTGCGCACAGTGCGCAGGTGCTAAGTGCATTCATCGCACTACACAGGGCGCACTGTCATCTCACAGAGTATGTTTTTTTTTTAATGGGTACAGTCTTGCACACTAGGTAGGACATTAAACAGTTCAGCGAAGAGTTATAACATGCTATTCCGAGGGGGGGAAGCATTGTTGCCACAACTACATTCTTCTACTAACAGGTGATGTGACTATCTGAGGAAATACTGCCCAACAGGTCAGGAGGATCCTGAGAGCCGCACGGGGGTTGTAATGCTACGTGAACAATTTGAAAAAGTAGGCTTATTTATTTATTTATTGTATATAAAATGTTCATTCTTTAATTCCTTTCATTCCAGTTTTTGTTTGTTTGTTTTCAAATTTTTGCTGCTTCAAAAATGGATCCTCTGCAGTGAATGGGTGCCATCAGAATAAAGGCGCGTTCACACCAAGCACGATAACTATAAAGATAACGATATAGTTCTAAAAATCGTTCTCAATATTAAAGAATAGCATAGTTCACACCACAACTATAACGATAACGATAAAGAGGAACGATATCGTTGGAATCACTTTCAAAACAATTTTTTTTCCCCAGCTGATGAACGATAAAACACTGACAGCCAATCAGAATCCATCCTGCTGTAACGAGCTCAAGAATTAAAGCGGCAGACGAGCGTGCGCTTAGAATAAACAGACGATATCGTTCCCTGGTATGGACGCTAATATCGTTATCTTTATAGTTATCTTTATAGTTATCGTTCTTGGTGTGAACGGGGCTTAAGAGTTCAAACAGCTGATAAAAACATCACAATAATCCACAAGTAATCCACACCACTCCAGTGTAGGCTATAATGTATTTTGAGGCGAAAAGCTGCATATTTGTAAGAAATAAATCCATCATTAAGGCATTAACTTAAAACCATAACTTCTGTAATCCACAATCACGCTTCCTCCAGTGAAAAATCCACCCTCTATTGTCCTCTCACTTTGTTTTGAACTCTTTTAGACTGTTGTCACTTTTAAACAATGCTTGATTTGTGCATATTTCTCTCCTGATTCAGATGAGAAACAACTTTTTCACTGGAGAAACCAATTATGAAGGACTCGTATTTCATCCATATCTTGGATGGCTTGAGGGTAAGTACATTTTCAGCAAATTTTCATTTTTTGGTGAACTATTCCATGTGAAACATATTGGATGAGATTTTAATAAAGCAAAAATCTCAAAAAAATATTTTATGGTGGTCTAGGTGATCTCAAGAGTGATGGTGGTCTGCTGCCTGTCAGATGAAATAGTCATAACATTCAGAGTAATGTACAGTTTCTCATGGTTGGGGAGAGTTCTTCCCTGTGGGCATAAATGGCTCAGGGCCCAGTGCACACCAAGCTTGACATTTGATGTTTTCTTTCTTTTTCTCGCCCTTCTGCAAGCCCTAGGTCAGCCGCTGATCTCGGATACTCAACATCAACCTCCACAGAGCCTGTCACTCTGCACCCACAGTGCGATTCTTGTCAAAAAAGGTGCGTGGAGAGCCTGTGAGGACATATGATGTTGACTATGACTGGAATGTGCATGATCTTTCAGTAGTTCGCCTAACTTAACCTAACTGTTGCAGGTGAAGTTTACTTGAAATCTATTTCAAAACCATTGTTCTGGCTATTTATATTTGCAAATGTGTTAATAAAATATGGTTAGGATAGTATTTGCTGTTTGAACTGACAGGCAAAGTCTCTCAAGTGTCCTAAGAATACAATACTTCAGATATAATACAGACATTGAGTCATTCCATTATGAATTAATGCAGTATCCCCATTTCACTCTTTAGAAGGCGCCAGTCGCGATTGTCTTACATAATATTTCCAATTAGCAACTTTGAAGAGTGAGGGAAACTATTAATTAGGGAGGTTAAGAATGGGTTCAGTGGATAACACATACTGAGTAGACCTGTCAAACCTAGCATCACACATTATACACTTCACAGCAACTCCAGAGCTCTTCTGAAAAGCTTTTTAAAAGATAGAAAGCACAAAACTGATCGCCTATTACATGTTTTATTTAGAGAATGATGATTCTCAGATGTATGAAGCCACATTTTAGCAACTTTCAGTTGTAGATTGTCTCTTTTTAAAGAGATTAATTGTTTCTTTTTTTTAACAACATATGTCTATTAATACAAAAAGTTGCTCTACTGTGCACTCTTAAAAATAAAGGTTCTTTATTGGCATATGGTTTAATGAAGAACTTTTAACATCCATGGAACCTTTCCATTTCTCAAAAGGTACTTTATAGCAGAAAATAGTTCTTTAGATTTTTTTAAATGTTCTTCACGCTAAGAAGAAATGGTTGAGACCTTAAGAACTTGGTAACACCTTTTATTAAGGATCCATTAACACTATTTCATAACATGAACTAACAAAGAAAACAATATTTTAAATCACTTAACAATGTTAACGTCAACATTTACTAATACTTCAAAATAAAAAGTTGTATTAACCAACATTAACAGAGATTCATAAATACTGTAACAAATGTATTGCGCATTGCTTGGTCATGTACGTTAATGTATTAACTTACCTTATTGTAAAGTGATCACTGAAAGGTTCTTTGGGAACCAAAAATGTTTTTTTAAGGAATCGCTTAAAACAACCCACAACTTAGACATTTTATGACCAGCCATTGTTCATCAAGCCCTTGTAGACCAACCATATTTCAAAGTGTTTATTTAAAAACATATGGTTTGAGCTCTAGAAAGAGGGAACAGTGTGGATGACCCACAGAGGATCATAGCACTTCTTCTCCACAGGGTGGAGCACAAGATTTTTGTCTGACTTTGAAGGCATTCCACCTGTATTCTGATATTACTAAATTGCATGTCTATTTTTCTGGTATTAAGCTATATAATATCAGCTTCAAATTTAAAGCTGGTCTACTTACTGTGTCCTATATGCAAAACTATATGTTTGGTATTGCTATGTAAAACGAATACTGATGTCACCAAAAATTGGTTGATAAATTAGCTGTTATTGTGCAGATACTCTTAAATCCAAGATTCTGGCCACCCCTGACTTTTATGTCCAGAAACGTCCGCTCCAGAATTATTACTGTATTTGAAAAGAAGGGATGGGCGTGAATCGCCCTCCAAAAGGAATGAAGGAGCAATTGGTTTTCTCCACTCTTATTAGGTGCGCGCTTCACTCCTTCTCAAGGCAGCTGAAGGAGCAGGCACACAGATTGCCCCAACTATGGATTTAACAGGTAACACAAGGGACAACATCAAGTAGAAATGAGGCAAAAGATAACATAGAATGAAATACTAGATTTCATTGTGCTGTTGTTAATATTTATTGATTTTATTATTTCATTGGAAAGGTAATTGTTATAGAAGTGATACTAACTATGGAAAAGATAACGCGGAACTGTAAAACTTTATTTTTGTTTACATTTTACGTGAGTTAAACGCAGCTAACCTTGTATTCTTAGTCGAGATTGGGTGTTGCGCATCGCTGCGCAATTTATTATCTTCAAGCATCCTACTGAGAGATTAGCTATATTCACTGAGAAATTAGTATTCGTGCACTATTATTGCTTTTAAAATATTTATACATTTTGTTCTGATTTCTCGTTTTTTTATCATTCAGGGACCACTGTGCAAATATTCTGAGCACCTTAAACTGATGCGCATAGACGAGAAGAAAAGGATTGTGTGACGGTGAGTTACAGAGAGAGAGTAAGTGAGAGAGAGAAAGTGAGTGAGAGAGAGAGGTTAGTTTGGAACAGGTGATAGAGCCACATCAAACCTCCAAGGGGCTGGTGGTTAAGATCAGTTTGCAGAGGATTCTTGTTCCGATCATGGTGCCAGCAGCCTGTCCCGGACCCTTTGCCATGCTGGCTCTCGCCTTAATCCTGGGATGTGGCATAGGGCTCTGTCTGGGCCAGAATGACACGGAACCCATTGTTCTGGAGGGAAAGTGTCTGGTGGTGTGCGACTCCAACCCCTCTTCTGACGGAGGAGTCACCTCTTCGCTTGGGATATCTGTGCGCTCCGGCAGCGCCAAAGTGGCTTTTTCGGCCGTCAGAGGGACAAACCACGAACCTTCGGAGATGAGCAACACATCCATGACCATCTATTTTGACCAGGTCAGGTGTCCCGTTGGTGACTTTGTAATCACAGGAACTGCATATGTATTGCGGTGCTCGGGAATCTCAGCAAGAAACTTCACGAAGTGACAAATGCTTCTATTCTATTGGACGATGTACGTTTTTAACTAATTCAGACGCGTATCTTAATTTTCAGGGTAATTAACATTATTGCATTAAACGTAGGATATTTAGTGTTGGTCAGATAAAATGTGTGAAGTTCCTAATAGGCTCCATAATATCTTTCAACAAATTGCTTAGTTGCAAAATAATTTTTGCCGCCCGTACTGTCAAAAATGTAATATTTAACCCAAATGTTTAGATTAACAACAAGCGAGGCGTGTTTAGATTAACAATAACCGACCCGCTGTCATTAAAACTGACCTGTAGTAATTAAAACTGACCCGACGTGTTGACAGGTTTGGAATACGCTTATGGCAAGCCGTTTTAACATGTAAACAATTGCGATAAGAAATGTTTTTGTAACCAGCAGGATAGATACTGAGTTTTAAATAGGTTCTAGTGTCAAATAAATAAGCACTAGTACAACTGGAACTGATACTAGTAGCTAACCATTCAAACAGTTACAAATAACCAAAGAAGAATTAATAGTGCCCAAATGAATAGTACTTGTAAAACTGAAATATCGACTAGCAATAATTTGAATACATACTAGTTGAAAATTAATTGATATCTTGACCACAGATTCCATAGAATTCAATGGCAAAAAAAGGTTATTTCCCACTATTGGAATAAGTAGCCTATGAACAGTTAGTCTAGCCCACTAGTGAAACTGAAAAATCTTATATTATCTTATACTAATAAAAACATCTGAAAACAAAAATATT